CCCTTAAACTATAAATAGTTTAATGCAGAACACAAGAATCGATAATCCACCCTATGAGTCATGTGGATTACGTACCAACCGAACAATGACTTGTCGGGTGGGTGATATCTGGACTGGATCCCGTACGTACGTTTTAACCCGAGATATGAATTGGTCAAGTAGGTATTTCTTAGAGTTTTTCTGGATATCCTTAATAATCATCATCAATATACAAGTGGGTATATCTTAGAGTTGTTCTAGATATCCTTAACAATACGATTCGTTAATTCATTATTTTCACTTTAACAATTCATGTTCATCATTCAAAACGTTCATCATCATTAATTCATTATAATCAATAATCAAACAATCGTCATAATGCCTAATAACAAATAGCGGCCTAGTCTCGAGTGTTAACACCCGAACTTACCGTCATGCATCACATAATGTTTATATGTCACAAACATCATTTTTATTGTACAAAATCATATTTATATTGTGCATAATTAATTGGTATCAAAAATAGGATTTTAGAGCATATTTTTAGGAACATTTTCATCTGGAATTGAGGAAAATAATTTAAAATAATCAATTAATTTATAAAAATTTATTTATATAATTTTATATAATCCATTAATTCATATACAATTTAAATAATCAATTAATTCATTATAATCGATTTTTACAATTTAAATAATCAACAAATACATTATAATCGATTTTTCCACTATAAATAATCGATTAATTCATAAAAAATTGATTTTTACAATTTAAATAATCCATTAATTCACAATAATCGATTTTTACAGTTTAAATAATCAATAAATTCATTATAATCGATTTTTCCACTATAAATAATCGATTAATTCATAAAAAATCGATTTTTACAATTTAAATAATCTATTAATTCACAATAATCGATTTTTATAATATAAATAATCGATTAAATGGTACTGACTTCGAACCACTGATCCGAATAAAATTCTAATCGATTTTTAGTAAGTAAATAATCGATTTTCGACCACTGTTCATCGTCTTCTTCCTCGAGTCAGTTTTAACATTATCTTTTTTTAATCACCAAACTTCAATTTAATTATATAAAAATGTTCTCCAATGGTCACAGATCATTTTAGAGTCATTAATTCGTAATTTTAACAACAATTTCATGGTTTATGATTCTTGGTTCTTCAAACATGTCAAACACAAAACTCAACCAAACGACCGTTTATGAACGTAGAAACGATCTATACGAACATTCTAGTCATTAGATATATCTACGGGCTTACCTCGAAGCTTAACGGAGGTTTTGGAAATTTTCTGGTGAAACTTCCGGCGATGATTACTCCCCACTCCGGCGACTTCGGCGGCAACCAAGAACACCAGACTGCTCCCTTCACTCTTATGAACACAATGGTATAATTTTCCAGAACATTGGTGCAAAATTGATAAGGATGGAGTATCCTTATATAGAAGAAGAGAAGGGGAAGAAGACATTGGTAGCTGACTCATTTCTACGTAGAGTTTCCTTAGTGCGCAGGTCGGCGATTCTAATTGATCTACACGCCCTTCCCTGATTGGGACTAATTTCGGTCCCAGTCGGGGTACTCTTTTTGGTCCAACTTTCTCCGAATTGAAATCCGTTTGCATCGTTGCGATCAGACAGTCGAACTCTATCCAACGATATAAGTTTTATATTCATTCGTTATACTTTTTCCGACACCACATTTTTGGGTGTTTGACTTTAACAGAGTAAAAATTGGTTTAATTGACCTTTTTCATAAAAGGTACTCTGATTTAATTCATATCAATTATTCTCATGATTTATTTCAACAAATCATTTCAATATTTACATTCTAAACAAATTCTTTATTTACTCTTGATTTGGGTCTGTACTCAGGTTTCCCAATCAAGACCACACAAATAGTCCCCATATTGGATTTATCTCTATGAGACTTATCCAGATTTTGATATTAGATGTCAAAACAAATTTTGTAT